TGATTAAAGTATTAGATTTAATGTTCCTAGACACTTTTTCATGACATCTTAATGTTGCTATTATTTGCAATATTTTAAAGTTTATTTTAAACATGACATTTTTCTGACTGTCATAGCTATTAGAAAGATAGTAATTTATAAGATTGGTGAGATATTAATCTTATTCAGTCACAAGGGTAACTGTGAGTGGAAAGAAATTATTAGTGATATTGACTATTTTAATGTCTGAAATTATTGAATTATTTGCAGATTTGATCCACTTTGGGTCATTTAAAATTAAGTGGTTATCATGTCCGGTGATAAGGCTGGTACTCAAGAGAACATGTTTTGGTCTCATCAAATTGTCTCTCCCTCATCTGCCATTTCTCTGTAAGTGAGCAGCTAACTCATTCTTTGCTATTATATAATATTATTTTATTTAAAGCTGTGATAGAGCAGGCCAAGTAAAGTGATTATAAAGTTATCCACAGAGGTTAAGTGATGACATAGCTATATGTTTCCTTCAATTTCCTGAGGATATTAAAGGTGATCACATGCCATTGCTGGTATTTCTGACTTATCTTTGGGTAGAAGAGTTGTTGGGATATTTGAGAGCAAATGTTCCATGATGTAGGGATAGCTTGAAGAAACACTCAAATTTGTTTTGGATTTCTGTGTGAACTGATAAACTACTTGCCAGGCAAGGTAAGTGAACTTTGTCCATATGTTCTAAGGATATGCTCTTGCAGGCACATGCTTCCAAGTATTTTCCCTTCTTGCTACTTTCTTGCTCTTACTAGAGCCTCAATAATATTTTTAAAATTGCTTTTCTGGTGGGGGGGGATGGTGGATTTTTTGTCTTGTTTTCATGTTTATTTTCTTATTAGCTCCTCCTTAGCCATATTATTTTGTAACTATGTGCTTCTGAATAATGGATAATGACAATTTAACTTACAAACTGAGGTCTTCGTTCATCTTGTGAAATAATGAAATCTCAGAAATGAAAAGAACTCAGTGATTCAGTCAGTATGATCTCTACCTAATCATGCATATTCTTACTTTTACTTAGTTTGTAAGTGCCAGAAAGAGTTTTATCTCCTAGATTTAACTTATTAGTACATAGTAGACATTGAATTAATGTTTTCTAAATCACTGACTCAAGTGAGTGATGGCTTCTCATAAATTTTAGTAAATGTTAATTTATCTTTGATTTTTAGCACATTCTAAGGTCACATATTATTAAGTGAATTTTAACAATTATAAACTTTGTACTGAAAATTCTCCAAAATAATTACTTGTGACATGTCATGATTCATGATATTTATATTATTAAAATTTATTTTTTAAAAGTATACTTCTTTATGTATTGTCCTATTAACAGAGTGTTTGAGTATACTTAAAAAGTTTTATCATTTAAAGCTTATTTCAATAGGATGAACTTATAAGCACTGAACTTGAAAAAAATTAGCAAAATGGAAATAATGATTATTGATATGTATTAGTTTCCCTAGGGCTGCTGTAACAAGTTATCACAAACTAGGTGGCTTAAAACAACAGAAATTTATTTTCTCACATTTTTGGAGATGAAAAGTCTGAAATCAATGTGTTCCAGGGCCATGCGCCCTCCAAAGTCTCTAGGACAGTATTCCTTTTTGCCTCTTTTAGCTTCCTGTGGTTGTTGACAATACTTGGTATTCCTTGGCTTGTGGAAGCAAAACTCCAACTCTGCCCCTGTCTTCACATGGTCTTCTTCTCTGTGTCTATGTTTTTCCAAATCTCTTTCCTTAAGGACACCAGTCCATTGCTGATATTAATAGATATTAAAGAAGACTTAAATAAATGGAAAGGTATATAAAGTTCATGAATCAGAAGACTAATTTTGATAAGATGTAAATTCTTTTCTAATTGGTCCACAGGTCAATGGAATAGCATAGAGTCCAAAATGGACTCATACATAATACAGTGCATTGACTTTTTAAAATTTTATTTTGAGACAGATAAAATAAGAGTAAGCCTGGGCTTACTCTGTTGCCCAGGCTATTGTGCTGAGGTGTCAGCCTAGCTCACAGCAACCTCAAACTCCTGAGCTCAAGCAATTCTCCTGCTTCAGCCTCCTGAGTAGCTGGGACTACAGGTATGCACCACCATGCCTGGCTAATTTTTCTATATATTTTTAGTTGTCCAGCTAATTTCTTTCTCTTTTTAGTAGAGATGGGGTCTTGCTTTTGATCAGGCTGGTCTTCAACTCCTGAGCTCAAACGATCCTTCTGCCTCGGCCTCCCAGAGTGCTAGGATTACAGGCATGAGCCACCGCACCTGGCCAGTGTATTGACTTTTGACAAATCTTACAAAGACATTTCAATGAAGAAATGTTGGTTTTTTCAACAAATGGTGCTGGAAAAATTTGATGGCAATGTTCAAAAATGAGCACTTTGATTGAAAAAAACCCAAAATAAATCATAGACCTAAATGTAAAACCCAAAACTATAACATTTCTGGAAGAAAACACAGAAGTTTTGTGACCTCAGATTAGGCAAATATTTCTTAGTTTTGGTACCAATATTATGATAATAAGGTTGAAGAAATAGATTCCTCAAAATTAGAAACTTCTGCTCATTGATAGGTAGTTAAGAGAATGTAAACACTAGTGGCAGAAAATATTTTGCAAATCATCTGTGATAAATGTCTTGGATATAGAATATATAAAGAACCCTCAAAACTTGGAAATAGGAAAACTAACAGCCCAATAAAAAGTAGCAAATGATATGAATAGACACTTCACCAAAGAAGATATGTGTACAGATAGCAAATAGCCACAAGAAAATATTCTCAGCATCATTATTCATTAACACAAGGTAATATTACCATATACCTGATATACTGGCTAAAATTTAGAAGACTAACAATAATAAGTGTTGCTAAGGATGTGGAGAACCAGATCTCTTATATACCGCTATAAAAATGGGAAAATAGTAAAATATTGGGAATATATAGTAAAATATGGGAAAAATAGTAAAACTATTTTGGAAAACAGTTTAGTAGTTTCTTAAAAAGTATACATTTCAAATGACCCAGGTATTCCACTCCCAGCTATTTACCCCAAAGTAATGAAAGCATATGTCCACATAAAGACTTGTACATAATTGTTCATAAAAGTTTTATTTGTATAAGTCCAAATCTGGAAACAACCAAAATGGCAATCAACAGGTGAATGGGTAAGGAATTTGTAGCACATGTATACAATGGAATACTACTCAGTTAAAAAAAAAAGAAAAGAAAAAAAAGGCAATGAACTATTGATGCACTCAATAACATGGATGAATCTCAAAAGAACTATGCTGAATGGAAGAAACCAGACCCAAAATAGCATATGCTGTATGGTTCCACATATATAATTTTAAAAATTACAAACTAATCTATTGTGACATGAACATCAGTCTAGAGGGTTGCTTGTATTAATGGTGGTAAAAGGATGCACTGATTACACAAAGCACATGAGAAAACTTTTGGGTGATGGAATGGTTCTTTATTTTGATTGTAGTAGTGGCATCGCAGGGGTATACATGCGTCAAAATTGACATGCGTCAAAATTTATCAAAGGACACACCTTACATTTGTGCAGTTACTTATATATCAATTATACTTCAGTAAAGTGGAAAAAATTAAGAAGAAATGACTCCATATGTTTAGTACTACTGTTTTAAAGTTCTCAACTTTTCTTCCTTCAGTAGGCTTCTATAGAATAAAATTCTGGTTAGCTTAAAAAAATACATCTGTAACTCTTTCTCAAATTAATTTTGGGCAGCATCATAGAAATGCCTGGAGTTTTAGGACATTTCCAGACAGTAATGAACTACAGTTTAATTTGTAATAGGAAAAGAGAATTTTTTAATTTAAGGGGTGAGGAGAGGTGGGTGGGGGAGATGAGGAAAGGAAGCAAGAGTGGAACAGGGGAAGTACACTCGACGGGGGGAAGTGGCGAGCCTGCCCCTACGCATTCTCACCCGCAACTGCATGGATTGTCTACGCAGGTGGCTCCAAGTGGTTTAAAAGGTTGCAACGTAAAGCTAGTCCTCAACCACAAAAACTGCTCCTCCCTGAGTTAGCGCAGCCAGCTGGAAACTCTGCGCCTGGCGTGTTCAATCCCGGGGACACCCGCCCCGTTTCCACCCTCCTCCTCCTCTTCCTCCCAGCCAAGCGGCGTCTGGCTCACAAGCGCCCCCTGGTGGGAGCGCCCCGGGACCCGCAGGCGCGCGGGCGAGGCTGGAGGCAAGGTGCGGGTAATAAGGTAGCTGCAAAGGAGAGGCGCCGCGGCTACCTCCGGATGCTTTTGCAGCGTCTGCATCTTGGCATCCGTCCTGCTGCCCTGGAATGGAATGCAGCTCCCCCCAAACGAGGCGCTCGCTCCGACTCCTCTCAGCTTTTATGCGCCAGGCTTCAGGTCTTGAGGGTGGTAGTCGGGCTGAGGGAGCTGCGTCCTATGCTTGTGACCTCCCGCTTTCAGGGCCGAACTTCCATGCATTTGCAAACGAGGGACCCAGAAGAGCCTTGACTGTAGCACAGTTGGCTCCGTTAGACCCGCAAGCTCCAAAGAACTGAGAGAGGACGGAATGCAGATTGAGCCCTTTTAAATCCCAGATTGTTATTTTTTTCCCTTCCACCTTACAGTCCACTGCCGCCCCCGATTGTCCCATATATTGATCTGCCACTCTGCCACCGCGAACCAAAGATTGGAGATCGTCACCATGTCCTTTCGCCTCTAAGTTTCAAGTGGCGGAGGGTGGACAGTACGGGAGCGGGGACCCGACTCTTCTGCCCGAGGACACGGTGGGAGGGACCCCCGCGGGCGCCCAGGGTGGGGCGAGGACCCAGTGCGTGGTGGGGAGGGGTGCACTTTCAATGGGACAGTTAGGACCTGGCAGGGGCGCCCGCACTTCCCAGCTTCCAACCCAGGAGAGGAAACTGCGTGACTTTCCCGTCCACACCTGATTGACAGGAGGAAGGAGTCGCGGCCCGGGAGGCGGGCGTGGGCGTGCAGGGGCGGAGACAAAGCCTAAACCGCTCGCCTTGCCCACCTAGACGGTAGGGGTCTCCGTCTGGTGCCAGTCACCTGCCTCTCCAGGCTGCACCGGGGACTGGCGGAGCCTGACGCCCGGAGCCTAGAGGGGACCGGGGAGTGTGTCCTCCGCCGGGGCTGCCGCCTGCAAGGAGGGGGCAGGGAAGCCGGGAGCCCCGCGCGCCACTTGCCCGGCAGCTGCAGCCTCACGCGGGACTGGCTGGCGGTTCCCTCGCGGCTCCGCGCGGAGGTCCGCCTCCTCCCTCCTCCCCCTTCCCGCGCGCTGCCTCCGCCTCCTTCCCCTGCCTCCACCCTCAACCCCCATCCCGGAGTGACGGGCGCTAGGCTCGGAGCCCTCAGTGTGCCCGAGCCCTGGATGTGGGCGCCGGACGAGTGCCAGGCGCCCCCGCCCAAGATGGACAGCCGCTACACCAGCACCGCGGGCATCGGGGACTTGAACCAGCTGAGCGCGGCCATCCCGGCCACGCGGGTGGAGGTGTCCGTGTCCTGCAGGTGAGGACGCAGCCCTTCCCCTGCCTCAGTCGTCCCTTCTGCGGGGTTAGTGGCTGCACCCGGGGCTGCGCTCTGGGCGCCACGCGGCTTTGCGCCGTCGGGAAGTTGCGCGCCGTGTGGGGAACACCTCCGTCGCGGGGCTCGAGTTATCCCCGGGTCGAGCGACACAGAGCGGGCAGCGGGAATCAGAAGCGAACGGGTGGGCTCCGGAACTGAGACTTTTTTAAAATTTTCTTTCTGGGAATCGCTGCAAAAAAAAAAAAAAGTTGGCTGCGCTGTGACTCAGCTGCGGGAATCCCGGCCACCGCCCACTTTGCAAGCCCTTTTATTTTTTTTTTAACTTCCCAAAACTGATCTGCATGGGTGGGTGGTGACGGGAATGGAAGGGGACAGCGGTGCCAAAAGCGCTCGTGACCCTGCGCGCAGCGGCCTGGGACTCCCTGCGCTGGGCGCGTGCAGCGCTGCTGCTGCCGCGGCTGGCTCCAGCCTCCGCAGCTTCCTCCCCACCCACTTCCTGGAGCCCTCCGCGGGCTCCCCGCCACCCTTCCGGGCTGTCGCCTGGTGCCTGATAGGTAGACACTGGAGCTCCTGCTCTCCTTGCGGGCAAATCCGTGCCTTTACCTACGGTCTGGGAAGTCACGACTTTTTTTGCAGGCAGACGCGAGTGAGTGCTCACAACAGCAGACTCTCAACCCCGTCCAAGGGGCTGTAAATTCCAAACTCCTTTTCCTGACACTCTTTGGGTCAATTTCCCTGTAAATAAAGCAGCGACAACTGCTGTACCACAGGAGCTGGTGAGCAGGAGGTGGGTGGACTATGCTAAATGGGTCCTGGCAGCCAATTGGCGAAGTATGTTGATTCTGGAGCCCACTCCCTTGTTTGCATGCTCCGGTCTGTAGTCAGTGGAAAGCTCTCTCATTTATCCATTTCCGTGCCAAGATTGTTTTTATGCCCTCGAATCCTCCCTTTCCTTTCCTTAGCAAAACTTGCCTTGAAGAAATCTAATAAACTTGGGTTTAATTTTCGTTGTACACAAACCCTGAAGTTAAGAATTTCACCAACTTTGATTTTGTATTTTCATAAACTAAGCCTAAAAACCAGAGGAATGTTTTTGTTTTTTGTTTTTGAAATTCAAGCACTAGCAACTCCGGTGGAGGTATTTGGGGATATGGGATAGCCTTTAGCGACCTCTCAGACAGTCACCTGATTGCTTGCTTCCTCTTAAGGCTGATCTCAGACTGTGGGGATTATAGCGCTGATAATGATAGCTAACACTAAGCGGTTTCCTTATTGCGCTCCCTGCTACAAGTGCTGCCTGAGATTTCTGTCAGTTGAACAAGTGAAGCTATGCAGAAAACTCCTTTTAGACAATTTACTGTTCTTCCCTCTGAAGCTGGCTTGAATGCTACAGGGAAGTTATTGATATATATATAGATAATAGCTAGCCAAAAGTCCTACAATCCTGGCATTTTCTAGAGTTCTTATTCTCTGTTCCACATCCTGCAAAGTCTGCTTGGCATGTGGACGATTCTTGGAATGAAGATAAAAGAATAGTGTCAATCAAACCTGAACGTCTTGTAATTTCTTTTGGAGTGATGAGGAAATTATACCTTAGCTGGTCATTTTGCCAGTAGGGTCCACATTTAACCACCTCTTTTTTGGATGCTTGTTTGCTATCGGGATGCTGAAGCCAATGGGCTTCGGACAGTTTGTCTCAGCTTGCTACCTCAGACCTTGGAGATCCCCTTCCTCCAGCCTTTTTTTTGTACCATTGCTTTGGCAACTTGTTTATCATTTTTAAGATTTTAAATAAGAAAAAAATCCTGAAAGAAAACTCAAGTAGTGTTAAGCATCTTTACCGGAGCCACTGGTGCTTAGTCTATTGTTTGAGTTTCTCCTGACCCAACTTACCATTTACTTGTTGGTATGTTTGATGTAAAAGGCATCTTTTGGGCAAACAGAAACATAATTAAATTCCCAAGTTACTGCTTTTGGAATAGGTTCATTAGTTCCTAAAAAGATGGGTTAATTTATTTGTATATTGTTGAGAATTGGGTCTCATAACCACAGGAGGTAGTGTAGTTTGGGCTTTGGCATCAGAGACCTGAGTACGAATTCTGGCTTTGTGACTTATTCCTCTTAACTTGCAGTAAGTTCTTATTTAGTTCATCGAAGCTTCCTGATCTCCAAAAAATGAGGCTAATTACGGTATTTAAGTTACATAGAGTGTTATCAGGGTTTTAAAAATGTGAAAAGTGCTCAGACATTGCATGAAACAAAAGAATATTTTCAAAAATGTTAGCTGTAATATTAGAAATAGCATTTGTTGCATAAATGTATCATATATGATTTAGTTATGGATTTCTGAAAATAATCCCTCTCTTTTGAACAGCAATCAATTGGTTAAAGAAAACAGGGATAGAGTCAGCACTGGGATACCAGTTCCCTCTTTCTATTTCTTCTTCGATGTACATAAAAAACATGTTTTCTAGGATGTTTGTAGGGATTTCACTTAGCAATAAAGCACAGTTGTAGGCCTCCCAGTCTTTTTATGGGCGAGCACAGCAAGGAATTCCCTTGCCTTACTCTATCAGAGACCTCTGATGGTTTGCTGGCACTTCAGAAACATCTTAGAAATAAGATCTTGTTTTGATAACCTCCTTTCACGGTCCCCTATCATCAAAAGCTTTATGACAAAGTTTTCTTTTTTCCCCATTTATTTTTAATTTATTATATATATCCATGGAGTACACGTGCAGTTTTCTCACACTGACACATTGCACTGTGGTAAAGTCAGGGTCTTCAGTGCATCCATCACTGAAGCAATGCATATTGTGCTCACCAAGCAACCTCCCATCATCCGCCCCAGGGTTTCATCTTCCTTTTGGGGAATGTGAGAAGGATCAACATTTACAGCTTGAAGCTAAATATAATTCATGGAAATCATTTCATCCACTCACCCACCAAGTGTCTGAGTGTGTTTGACGTGTCTAGGGTTATGCTGTGCTCCATGAGGAAGGCAAGAGAACGTCTCTTCTCTGAACATGTAAAATCTGGTTGGGAGAGAAACATTATATAAGACATGGTAACGTAGGACTAAATTCAAAAGATGAGGCTCATGCATAAGGAGGAAAGGGATCACTGTGGAGCAGCAGACTGCTTGGAATATTTTACAAGGAGGAAATGGGGCTGTAGCAGAGACAAGATGGATGGGTGCCATTTGGATTAGGGAAAGGGCGGTACACATGGAGGTTTTGTAGTGTCTGTGCACTTGGTGTGTTGGGGTGGTGACAAGTATACTTTTATAGCTGTATTTATCTCGAGGCAAGCTCCTACTATTTGATTTCCTTACTCTTTTGCCCATTATCTAGCTCTTGCATTCATTTTCCTTCATGATACCAATCTGTAGATTTTTAAGTTCACCTAATTAACATGTCTATGGCTGACATGATACAACCTTAGAAAGATAAACTAACATAACATTTCCATTTTATTTTGAAAACAGATTAATATAGTATGAGTTGAAATTGATGGGAAAAATACTCAGTAATAACCTGTTTTCCCCGGGGCCTTGGTTTATTGCACTATTTTGGTGATTGTTGTCATTTTCTCTGATTGAGAAATCGGTTTATCAATTATAAAAGCAGTGAGAGCATTGTGTATTTCTAGGCTTGGTATATTAGCTATCAAGTGCATATCCTTTTACAGCAATAATCCTGTAGTGGTAATAACAGTGGTTTTAAACACTAATGTGGAAGGAAGAATATGAAGTGGAAATTGATTGAGTGCCTACTTTGAGATAGGCATTCTAGAGAGCCCTTTCTAACCTGGCATAACTCTCTTGCCTCGTATCCATTACTGCTCACGTGAAGTCTGTGACTGAATATAGTCTAACAAACTGGTGCTTACTGTATGCCCAGACTCATGCAAAATGGATGTGGTCATAACACATGCACAAGAGGGACAGTCCCAAAGCACGTGTGCTTATCCTAGTGGACCAAACTCTTTATGCACATGCTGTGGCCATGTGCATGCTGCTCTCTGCCCTGAACATCCCTTCCTCCCTTCCGCTTCTCGTCTTGATTAGGCTGTGCTCCTTCTTTAAGACTAGGTTACAGATCATCTGCTCTCGTGACCCTTCTTCCAAGCTGGGTTTTTCTGTATTCCTTAAGTAGCTGGTATGTGCCAGTATCGTAGGTGTATTATAATTCTTGGTCTCTGTGTTCTCTTTGAGGGCAAGTTTTGTCCCTTTCATGTCCATGTACCATATTCTGAGCTTGGTACAGAATACGTAGTTAATAAATGTTTGTTACTTGTAATTCTCTAACTGAATCATCCGATGTGGGGACAATGGTTTTCCTGTTAAAATATCACTCCTAGGTCCTATAGACCCTGCGGTCCCCAAGCCCCATGCTGTGGCCTGGTACTGGTCAGCCTCCTGATAGCAGCTGGGCCATGGACCACTGCATGAGCTCCATGCCCCACCCCCTAGTCCATGGAAAAACTGTCTTCCATGAAACCGGTCCCTGGTGCCAAAAAGGTTGGGGACCGCTGCCATAGCAGATTTATTGAATCACAATCTCTGGGAATGGAATCCAGGAATCTGGACTTTTAACAGTTCACCATGTGCTGGTTATACATGTTAATATTTTTAATCTACTGGTTTTATAAGTAAGTGGCTCTGTGACTGTAGTCCTTTGATCTGTGTTAGGAATATGTGCCCACTAAGATATTAGGAGGATTTTTTTTTTTTTTTTTGGAGACAGAGTCTCATCCCCTTGCCTGGGCTAGAGTGCTGTGACATCAGCCTAGCTCACAGCAACTTCAAACTCCTGGGCTCAAGCGATCCTTCTGCCTCAGCCTCCCGAGTAGCTGGGACTACAGGCATGCACCACCATGCCTGGCTAATTTTTCTATATATTTTTAGTTTTCCAGTTAATTTCTTTCTCTTTTTAGTAGAGATGGGGGTCTCACTCTTGCTCAGGCTGGTCTCGAACTCC